ATGTAATAATATGTATACTAAGCCTGAAGGTGGCGCTTTACTACGACGGCCATCTTGGATGGTACGCATACATAACTCTGCATTGCTGCGCCATCTTGTCAGCACTCTAGTTGTTTAATAGCTCTATGATCTGAATTCGGTTCGTATTAATCGAATCAGTGTTAAAGAATAGAGGTTCGTAGAACATCGAAAACGTTCTACGAACCGAATTCTAATTCGGTGTGAATCTGCCTTTATTTCTCGTATAGAATCGTCTCATGCTTTAGAATATCTCGGGTATAGTGAACCAAGGGCATGGGGCCGGATTTATCAAACTAGAAATTAGCTTAAATTCGTCCATTTTTTTTTAGCTTAAGTCAGATTTATCAATATTGCTTTGCTGAAAAGTTGTTTGAAATTAAAAAGTCGATTGTACGCATAGACCATCTATTAAGACGATTTTAAGCTAAGATTTTGCTAAAATGGTTTTAATAATTTTTGTCAATTTTTGTAGGAATATCATGAAAGAGTACAAAGAGCGCGGTCGTTTGAGGTCGTCAATGAGTGGGATTTTAATCTACGTGTCCGTGACGGGGAGAGTCCCGTTTCTACTGGCGAACGGCGAGGCTCACTGACTGCGAGACGTCTTTCTGTCGTTACGCCGCTACACGCAATACCTGAACAGCACAATGAGGCGAGCGACGCATCCGACAGTGAATTCAATGTCTATTTTTAGGTCAACTAAATAGAAAAATGAGAAATATCATTTCACATAAAGGAGACAGACAATAAATAGAAGTTGTAGGCGCATAACGAGAATAAACTGTACTGTAGCCCTTACGAGTGATTTTCTGTATCATTTACATTTGGAATATTTTGCCCGTTAGGGTTTCTACACCTCAAAACGAAACGAACTTTGATATGTACGTATACGGCGAATGAATGAATTATATTTTTTTCCCTAAATCAACTTTTCACATAGTAGACAACGAGAATCGGCGTTGAATGCAGGGATGGCGGCAGTGGGGAGCTACCCCCCCCCCCCACTCCCGGTCGGGAGAGAAAAATTTCTGGTAGGCCTATGTGTATTTTAATTTTCTACATAACGGTAATAAAATCGATTAAATAAGCATTTGAAACCCCTAATTTTCATATTTTTCGGGGGATTCTCCCCTGGACCACTTTTGAAACACAGTGATCGACGCCCGACCAGCCCACTTTGCTCCCGTCGGGGCCATCACCCTTCCCCATTGGGGACCTCGGACCCAGTCGGGCAAATTTTGGCGACACCCCTGATTGAATAAGACGTTGAATTCAGGTTGTTTAATCGAATGTGAGTACTTCGAGTTGATTCAGTCTCTCAGTATCCAACGTTGAATGACATGATTGCGACATTGTATCCAGCGAGAATCAACGTGTTGACATAGACCACATTACAATGTTGAACCAACGTTGAAATCGTGATTTGTTTCGACGGGTGTGGATGATAAACGCTGTTAGATAAAAGTTAGATTCGGGTTGATAAATGGTGTCCCAACCTACCTCATTTCAACTGCTAACCAACACGATAATACCCAGATATAACATTTAATTTTTTTTTTTTATAGAAAACATTGCAAAAGATAATAATTTGGAAATTAGTACAAAGTGAATAATAGACACAACCAAAATTCATTCACAAGCAAAAGAGCTTTTATAATATTTGGTGAAGGTGGTGCTCAGAGCGCGGTTGTTTCTTGCACTTGCTTGTTTTGTTTTGACGTGATCGGCGGGCCATACAAACGTTTGCGCTTTACACACCCACCTCTTGTGATGTGGATCTGTGTTTATGCAGTTATTTATAATTATGTTAAAATTCGCCGTTCTAAGCTATAGGCTTTACCAAAAACGTGCAAACGTAAGTAGTAGTTTGACATTGTCGGAACGGGGCCTAGGCCTGTCCGATGTAGGCCTAGGCTAGTACTAGGCTAGTCCGCACTAGCCTAGGCCTTCTCCACCGCTAGCCTATTGTGGCTGGAACGAACCCGTGTGTGGGATCGACTTTGACACCACGACTAGCCGGGCAGCTAGCTAGGCTAGGCCAGGGAGTCTACCTTTCTGCACTTGTACATTACTGTATTAAAATTATTACTGTACATGCAACAACAACTTGTAGAGATGTTTAAAATGTGTTATATTTCATTATTGTAGATGTTTTCAACTATTTTTCAAATGATGATTCAAACAAATTCTGGAGATTCTATGGCTCTTGTATACAGAAGACACAAAAAAGATCTAACCATCAAGACAAGGTAATAACGTAAATCTGTGATTGATTTCTGTGGGATATCTTCTGTTTATGTATATAGTTTATACTGTAGTATTGTTATCCATCAGCCAACTTGTGGATATTTGAATGAAGATAGTTTGATGTATAAAATATTGATTTCATAATGTTAATAAACCCTGTTCCATCCAACGCATGCCACTGATATTTTTAACCAAGTAACCATGCTGCTTTAATTAACATCATCCTTAATGAAGTAACTTTGCAATTTATTATGTTATTTTTATGGTAGCATAATGTTAGTTATTGTTAATTTTTTTTTCTTGATTTCAGACTAGAAACGCAACTGTGTACAGGCTTCCCGTCTACATTCTCTGTATCTGTCACTATAATTGCATGAAATATTTAACTAAAAAAGCTTAGTAGGCCTTTTAATTATAATAATATGCCATATTTAAATTGTTTAAATGCATAAATATCTTATTAAATTTAATGAACACCTCAGTGTACAAACATCTGGATGCCTATGTCTTGTTTGTCACAACAACAATGAATTTGAGAATGCGGATTCAAAGCTACTGGTGAGAAACAACCTTTGTTTGTTAACATAAATGAAATTCGAAATAATACTACTCTTGAAGCTAAATGAAGTTATTTGATCAACAATAAATTTAATAAGTTTTTTTGTTTTTGAAAAAGTATTTGTGATTTATTGTTTATTGCATTCTGTATTTCTTTTTTTAATTAATTCATTAATAGTGGTTGAGAAAAGGGCCATCAATAGCAATTTATTTTGTGTTTTTATTCAACAATATTTCAATTGTTCATTCATATTAGTTTAAAGGACTAAATTTAATATTTAGATTAACCTCATTTTCATCAACTGAAATACTGGTTCATAAATTTAGATTTGTTTTATTTTTCAATATTTATCAATTCAATTAAATTCTTTATTTCAATAACCACAAAAAATACAATAGCAGCCCAAAGGGTTGAATTGGAGTACAAATTTACAGCAAAGGTACACAATAAAAAAAAAACAGAAGGAAACATCAAAAATACAATACAAAAAGTTCAAGTACAAAGTCTAATAAAATCAAAATATAAAAATTGGTCAAGAAAAAAGAACATCAAAAATATGATAAAAAAACAATTCAGTCACAAATTCACAAAATAAAAGGGCATTAAAATCATTAAAAATCAGTTTTACATTAATTTTTACATAAAAAAGGTCAGAAGAAGAGTGAGTCACTGGTTGGTGAGGAAGGAGATAGCACTACTCTTGTACCTTATAGTGAAGCATAGAGAGTTTCAAACTTGCGGTGATTTCTAAGTGGCATGTGGTGTGTTTATAACCATTATTGTGAAGTTTACAAAGACGTGTAATTCAATTCAATTAATTCAAATCTGGTTTATTCAAAAATAAAATTGCATTGCAGAATAAACTGAATTGCTTCAAATTTACATTATTAAAAACATTCAGATATATAGTATTTAAAGTAATAAAGACCAATTAAATTGTTCAAAATGCAATCATACAAATACAAAATAAATGCATTAAAACAATAAAATAAAAGCAGTACAGCAAAGACATAGCAAAATACATGCAAAGAGAGTTTAAGGCAACAGAGACTCGCATGTTGCATATTAAAAGTTATTGCAGACTTCTGATAATACTGAGCATAGGCGATTTCCCAAAATGCTAAGTTCTGAACTTTCCAGGGAGGTGTTACTAAGTTTAGCATTCGAGTGGAGAGATCTCCCTGTGCTTATGTTCCTTTTGGGCTTAGAGGATGAGGTAAGTTTCTTAGCATTCTTATCAAATTTGGCTAATAAAACCCACTTCATTGTTCAGCTACAAAACTATAACATTTATTCAGCAAATAACAATGGCACAAAGGCACTACTACTACAATAGTACGTTTATTTCTAGCAAATAACATGGCAAAAAGGCACTACACAGTTTACTAGAGTCGACTGTGTTCACTAAGCAAACAACTTACTTTTTCATCTAAACTCAGATATGAAACTCCTTCGCAGTGCGATCAATGCGCCGTTTTATAATACATTTAAGCTGCTTTAAGGAGTGGCTTAAAACTCAATCGTCTAACTGGCGCATGCCCACTTGCCACACTGTTGTGATCATACCAAACCTAAATTGGGTCGAAATGGTTTCTATAATTAAGTTTATTCAAAATATGATTTCTATAACTATTTAATCTCAATCAAAATCTGATTTCTATTTCAATTTATTTGGCTGGTGAACTAATCTGGCTAATATTTTCTTTTATGTACTTCAGTCAATGTACGTAATTTAAAATCCTCTAAACAGCTGTATGGGGCAGAGAATTAAAGCCGAAAAAAATACTAAATCAGGCTATTATATATATTCATGATCTGCAAAACAGCATAATCAGGCCAAAAAAAAAAAAATACTAGTTTCTCGTCCCCTCGCACATCCATTTTCTCTGCCTCACCATTTAAAAAAAAAATTATTTCCTTTATTTTACGGAATGTATGAAAATCTGGCTAGCTCGCATCAGTAAAATTCCTGTCTATCGTTCGTGGTTGGGGATACATGTTATGAATCGTGTCTAGTTCTTCATTTATTTGCAATGTGTCTAGTTGGTAAACGTGAGGAAGTAGTACTGTTTCTCATTGACGATCTTGAATTTGCCATCTCGCAGTAAAAAAAAAGTGTCCTCATTCTCCTTTGTTCAAAGTATTAGGACGAGAAACTACTTTTTTTTTTTAGTTGGCCTTATGGAGTTCTGGTCCGTAATTAGTTTGTTTGAATGGCCATAAATTATTTTTAGAATTAGTATCTCACACGGGACAAATAAAAGCGAGTTATTATACTATAGAACTGACGCCCCCTTGAGCCTCGACATTTGAAGGTTTTTTTGCCAATTTCAAATTCTGCTTTTAATTCTGTAGCTGTGCTACACTGCATTGATTGTTGGATTGGCTTTTTTCCCCCTTTTTTGTTTGTTTGTTTTTTGTTTTTTAATTATTTTATATTACCTCACGGGTCATATTAAATTAAGGCCAAAACTATTTATAAATCTGAACTGAGATTTTTGTACTTGATTGCTTTGTTCTTAAATGCCTTTTGAGTATTTTTATGTTGGTTGATATATGTTGCTGCAATAAAATTACAAACTAGCATATCATTAATACATTAGGCCTACTTAACAATCCGAACTGACACTAGAAAAATTGGATGTGTTGCTTAAAATTTACGGATAGCCTGTTAGAGTCGTGAAACCACTTAATTACAAATATGTTTCTTATTACTATTTAGGATCATGAGGATGAATGTAGGCTTATATTACTTTCATTCAATCTGAGACAACTATACTTCTATACAG